GCCGCCCTCTCCCCGCAGGGTGTCATCCGCGTGCCCGCGCCCTGCCAGTACGCCCACAAGCTGGCCTTCCTCGTGGGCCAGAGCATCCACAGGGAGCCCAACCTGTCGCTCACCAACCGCCTCTACTACCTCTGACCACACCGGCGCCGCGGCCTCCCGGATGGCAACTTCGGGGCCTTTAAGCTTGGGTTTTGTTTGTTTGTTTTTTAACTGTTATCTTTCTAGAGACTCGGGGAGGGGATTAGGAGATCTAGAGTTTTATTTGACATTGGTATTAACTAGATTTGTTATTTTATAGGTTAAAATTAAGGTTTTATATTCTACGTCCTTTGCTTCTCGTTAAGTATGTTATCAGACTTTTCTTGTTTGGGGAGAAGACGAGGGTAGCGTGCGTTGTCTGTGACAGGCTTTCCGGAGCGTCCGAGCGCATCCGGCTCGCGCCCTGTGCTCGCCGCCCGTAGACGCTGCTCCTCGTGGGAGGCACACAGTGCCTGCGGCCCTCGGGGCGACGGGTCTGAGCGCGTGTTTTAAAGGGAAAGCCGGTACTGAGCCATACGCGGGGTCAGGAAGGATGAGCTTAGTTTTCATTTGGGGGGAGGGGCCAGGTGGTATGGGAGTAGAAAAGATAGTTTAAAAGTTTTAAATTTCTGTCCAAAGAAAGATTTTAAGGCTGTCTAGTGTAGAGGCCGGCAGGGAAGCTGTGTGAGCGTGGCTGCTTATTCCTTTTCCCACTGGGACCCGATTCTGTGTGTTCCAAATAAAACTGGAGAGCAAGCCAGTGCGGTCACCGTGTGCTTGGTTTTCCTGAAGACATGCGCCTGGGCTTTCTGCTGGCTTTTGCGACTGCAGAGCACACGCGAGCAGAAGCCGCTCCTGAACGCGGGGTCAGCAGCACGCGGGGCCTCAGCATCAGGGAGGCTCCGCTAGGGCACAGCCGCCAGTGCCGTGTCCGGTGCGATGGGGAGTGCGGGCCGCGTCGGTGCCAGCCCGTCGGCACCTGTGACCATCACAGCTGTGCATTTGCCGTCGTGCAGGAACTTAAGCAGAGAGCCAGTGTGGCGTGAACGAGCCATTGCAGCCAGGAGCTCGGCCGGGCACTGTCTGCAAGTGCGGGAGCAGAGCTCGGCTGTGGCGCAGGCCGGGCGCCGAAATCACACCCACGCGCTCCCGTGGGGCACCGTCTCGCCGGCCACTATGGCATGGCGGGTGAGATGGCCGTGTCTCCCTCCCACCCTCAGTGCCGGTCCCAGTGGCCAGCAGGCGCTGGCTGTGGCCCCGCTCCTCGGCCTGTTACTATCTAAGCATTAGGAGCAAAGAAAAGGAGAGCGGGACCCTACAAAGGGGTCCCTGAGACAGAGACCCCGAGGCAGAGCTGCTGAGAGTCGTCCGGTGTTACAGAAGACGGACTCTACCCCAACAACCACAAAAGGCTAATTTGGGGTGTTGTCATTCGTGGATTTTTATGGCTAGTCGGTAACTTTTGCTTTTTTTTGAGAGAGGTTTTTTTGTTTGTTTGTTTGTTTGTTTGCTATAGGGCACGTGCACTCACCAGACAGACAGAGACAGACAGAGAGACAGAAAGTGGGAAATCACCCCCCAGGGGGGATGGCCACACCGCAATCCCTTCTCCTCCGTTCTCCTCTCGGGATCCTGGGCACGCACGCACACGCGCCCGGCGTGAGTTTTAAGCCACCAGGTCCAGGACACGAACCACGGTCAACTACGAGTCCAGCTACAGCCATTACGCCAACTGCTGGCCCCTATGGCTAGTCCGTAACTAACGTGACCTCTCATCCTTGGCAGGTTTCAGCCTGCCCCTTAAAGTTGAAAGGCTTCCGTGTCGTAACCGTGAAAACCTGGTGATGCGGTAACTTTGGAAAAGTTGTCACAAGTCCCTCAGTGTATCAGTACAGACTTACTTGCTAGGGAAGAAAACCCGCTCAGGTCTGTTTAGGCCAGGTCCGGTGGTGCTTGCCACGTGTCCCTCTGAGCATCGCCCGTCTATTGCGGTCATACGGCACCGCAGTCTGGACCGGCCTGACCTCTGCCGCCCACAGGTTAGCGCTTCAGTCCCTCAGTCACAGCTTCGCCGTGAGTCTGCGCCTTCCCGGGCCCCACCGCCGTGGCTGCCTTCCCACCTCCGTGGCAGTGGCTGCGGGCGGGGTGCGTCCCAGTGGCCACGCGCACGACCTCGTCTTATCTCCAGCCAGGGATGCTCAGCAGGCCCCGCGGTCCCTGCCGCCTCGCTGGGCTCTGCTCTCCTGTCCTTACTCCTGTCGTGCGTGCGTGCCTGCGTCCGACCCTGAGGACTGGGTGGCCTGTGCGTGCTGTTCTGGGAGCACGGTGGGTGTGCTGTGTTTCCAGCTCCTCCCCAGAACCAAAAACCCACCTTTGCTCTTGGGAGGTGCCGCCCTTGGGCACGTGGGTCAGAGAGAAATCCCAGTCAGCCATGGAGCGAGCCCTGAGCGGGCGCTTGGCCCCCACTGCATCCAGCTGGCGGCGGGAGTCGGGAACCTGCTGGGAGTGCTGGGGTACAGCTGTGGCCCTCACGGCTTACGTCGGGGACTGACCGGTCTAGGAGGGAAGCAATGCCTGTAAGAGTGAAGCGTTAGCAGGGAGAGCACACTTTAAACGTTGTCTGCTAAAGTGTACGTTGAAAATGTTACGTGTGTGGCCTAGTGCCCATTTCCAGAACACTGGTCCTCCTCACGAACCACACGGTCGACTACGAGTCCAGCGACAGCCATTACGCCAACTGCTGGCACCATCTGTCTTCCAGGTGAATCGGGGTAAATGTCCCAGTGTGTGCGTATCAACGACTGTTCACAGTCACTCAGCCACAGGGGAGAGGGGGACTTTCTGACAGTCCCCCCAACAAAAATAGCTACTACTGCCATTGGTCGCATCACTAGCCAGGTGACCCTGCATTGCCGCTTCCAGACCGGGCGGCCCGCCTTTGTTACTTTACCTGCAGAGAGCTTCGTCCCCACGGCCAACCCCTCTCACCGGCCCCCGGTCCTCTCGGGGTGAGCTCTTCAGTGCCGCTGTCCTTGGAACACTGCTCCCCTCACCCTGGAAGCTCGTCCCGTGGCGGCTGGGACTCAGCTTCCCAGACGAGTCAAATCCCAGTCTGACTTGTCCTTCACTCTATTCCATGACACAGAGCTGGCCGCCTCAACCGGGTCATCACAGTGGCCCACGCTGTGAGCTCGGGTGGCCGGGAGGGGACCCCGCCCGCCCCCCATGCACCCCCTGCAGCCCCTCGGACCTCCTCACCCCAGGGTCCTTCAGGCTTGTTGTAGAAACGGCTCAGGAAGTCTACTGTGTCAGGTCAGAGGGGGAGGGACTCCCGGGACAGGAAGCAGCTGACCTGCGTGTGACGCCACGTGACTGGTCAGAGCTCGGTGTGCATGCACGTGTCACCACTGCTCAGCCCCCTGCCCTGCCATGCAGGCCAGAGGGACGCTCAGCCTGGCTTGGCGATGTGGTTTGCAGGCTTTTGAATGAAATGCATTTCCACCAGTGACTGCCAGGAGCCGGCAGCCTGCTCCCTTGTCCCCTCCCACCCCGAGTGGAGGCTCCGGCCACCTCCCCCCGTTGGCCCATCTACGGAGGCCAGTGGCGTGAACAGCCTCAGAAGACGAGGTGCCGCCCACTATCATGGAGAAGCTCACTTTGCAGCACAGGTCAGACCAGATTCCTGCCCCGGTAAAGGATCTGGGGTCCCTGGGGCCCCCATCACCTCCCCCGCCAGGACCCAGCCAGCTTTGGAGCCACCACAGCCCTGCCTGCGGTGCCCTCGTGTGCACTGCACGTGGCCACACCTTTGTCCCCAGCACAGGGCTGTCCTGCCAACACCCAGGGGCCTGGCAAGCTGCGGGAGTGACAGGCAGAGCAGTGTCTGCCACTTGTAGTGACAACGCCCAGGGGGCAGCGCAGGCCCAGCGCTAACCGTGAGGCAGGTGAGACCGTGGTGTGAACGTACTAGAAAGTTCCTGCGGTGTTCGGGACGCACAGGTTCCGGCTGAAGGTAGATGCTGACAGCTCAGAGAGCTGGAACCCGTGTCGCAGTGCAGGGTCGCTTCAGGGCAAGCAGGAGCTGGCGCCGAACACTCGGCAGTGCTGGGCTAGCCTGAGAGGTGGGAAAGACGGACTGAGGAGACATGGCGTCTGATGCCAGAGGGTAGGGAGGAATCGGGCCTCGAGCCAGTTTTGCCAGCAGTTAAACACAAGCAAACCAAACGCGCCATGAGAAGACTTCAGACTTGATTTCTTTTTTTTTTCTAAGATTTTTATTATAGGACACATGTGCTTGCCAGAGAGAAGGCGAGAACTCACCTCCTGGGGCGATGGCTACGCCACAGCCCCTTCTCCTCCATTCTCTCGGGTTTTGGGCACGCACGCACACGCGCCCAGCGTGACTTCCAGCCGCCAGCTCTGAGACTCAACAGCAGTCCACAATGTGGCGCACAGCGATGTAACCGCTCCTGCTGGGCCCCGTGCACGATTTCCTTAACAGGCTTCTCTATTTTCTGGGCAGTTTGCATGTACATTAAAGCTGAAAAGATGGAAATAAAAACTTTGGAAACGCCAACCAAAGTAAAACTGGTGTGGTTATTTGAGGTGGTTTCGAAAGTGTGTGGAAAAATGGAATTCAAGTATAAGTTTATTTTGGAACTAGCGTATGAGTTTATTGTGATGTTAGCTTTTCCAGTGTGTGCAGTTTTTTCATAGTGGACATTTTCCATGTGCTTCTTGAACCCCCTGCACCATTGTTTGCACAAACTGACTCTCAGGCTTTAGTAAGTCTGAGTCGCAGAAGCGGTTGTTTCACAGGGATAAGAGTCGACGTGCTAACAAGTGCACACCCTAAGCCTGTAGGTCTCTAACCACAGCTTTACAACACGTGCCACCAAAACTGCAGGTCTAAACAGAGAGCCCACACGTGCCCGTCCTTGGGGAGACAGCCCCGCTCTCAGACGCTGTGCCGCGGACCGGGTCAGTAGGGAGACCAGGAGGCTGGCAAGCCCGGGCCCTCCCCACACATGCGCAGGGTACCCAGGGATGCGGAACCCCCGGGGACAGAGATGGAATGCGTGACAACAGTGACTATGGAATGTTGGCACCGTCCTTAACCTGTAGGCCACCCGGGCACCGCGGCAGACGGGCCTGCAGGGTCCCTAGCGCAGACAGCAGTACCGCGCCTTGCAGAACGCGGTTAGCTCAGGCGGGGACCAGTAGGTGGCGTGGTGGTTGTGTCGCTAGATTCCCACATAGTTGACCACAGTTGGAGTCCTGGACCTGGTGGCTTAAGACTCAGGCCGGGCGTGAGTGCATGCGTGCCCAAGATCCCGAGAGGAGAGCAGAGAAGGGGTTGCAGCGTGGTTATCTCCCCCCAGGGGTTATTCCTCGCTTTCTGTCTGTGTCTCCAGTGAGTGCAAGCACCCTGTAGCAAAACGCTCTCCCAAAGAAAACCCAGTAGTTTGAGATTTTAAGGCTTGAAATCAATGTATTTTAAATAGAGAAAGCTGGAAATTCAGTGATTAAATGTTTCAGCTCAAAAAAAGCAAGAGACAGGAAAATGAAACCCAAAGAAAGCATGGGGAGAAATCGCCGAGTTGCAGGGGTGAGGGACAGCCCCTGCAGAGCGGGCGGAGCCGAGGGGCGCAACTCTGAGGGGCCCGGAGTGTGGGGCCCAGTAGGCGTGGAGGAAGGGTGCCAGTGCAGCTCTGTGGGGGGAGGCCTGCTGCCCCGTGCCCGCATGGAGTGCTCACTCCCGCCCTCCTGGAGCCTCCATCCAGCCGGCCAACCCGCTGGCAGCCCTGGTCACGGCCGTCCTTCTGAAGTCGCCTCTGGACACAGGGACGGCACGTTTCTGCCTGTTCCCACCCGACTGGACGCGGTTCGGAGGTCGTTTTTCATGGCCCTTGAGTCTCTGGTTCCTTCTGTTGCCCCCCCAACACACACACATGCTCTTTGCTCTGTCCCCTCCCTTCTGTCCCCTCCCCCTCTGTCCCCTCTCTCTTTCCTTCCTCCTCCTCTTACCTCCCGCCAGTGGCAGCTCCGGGCACTGTCACCGGAGGGAGGAGGTCGTGGGGCTGGCTCTGGGTCCCTGCACTGCAGGCGGCCTTCCCGGCGCTTGCCCTGTGCACCTGCTGGCCACGGCCCTCTCTGTCCCTGGCTCTGCCCCCCTGCCGCGGCCCAGGGCACATGGGGCCACCCCACACCCACCGCCCTGCATCCTACCAGGCCTTCAGGAGTTGGGGACAAGAGTCCAACAGACACAGACGGGAGCTTCGGCCGGCCGAGGGAGCCGCCGACTCCGGCTGTTGGAAGGCCAAGGCCCTGGCTGGGAGCCGGGAGCAGGAGGGTGCGATCAGGGCGGGCTGCCCCACAGCATCAGCACTGCCCAAGCCGGGGCCCGCTCACGGGAGCGGCCCTTGAGTGGCAGTGAGTGGCGTGCCATGCTGGTCGCTCTGGGGTCCCTGACACACTTGCCACCATTACTCTGACGCTGAGACCTGGCGCAGATCCCCCCTCGGCCCCTCTTGCCGGGTGACTCCCAGGGGGAGCTGCAGCTTCAGACTGGAGCGCTTTGTTTTAGAGCTTCGGGCTGTAGGGCACCTGGGCTGGCCGGAGAGAGAGAACGTGAGAAATCACCCCAGGGGATGGCCACACCGCAGTCCTGCTCTACCCTCCGCTCAGGGTCTTGGGCACGCACACACACGGCCGGTGTGAGTTTGTGAGTTTCAAGCCCCCGGGGCCGGGACTCGAACCGCAGTCTGCGTGGGAGTCCAGTGATGCAACCTGCTGGTCCCTCTGGGCATGAGCACGGTAAGGCGGCGTGGCCTGGGGGTGAAGGCGACGGACTCCACGGGGGTGACCGACTCGCGCCCCTGGCCTGGCCTGGCCTTCCCGCGTTGCCTTCCTCTCCGTCGCTCTCTGGTCAAATTAAAAAACAGCAAGATTCTTGAAAACCACCACCACGGCTGACGTGGAAGGAGCAGAGCTGCGGCCGGGCACGCGGACTGCCCGGTGGGCCCGGCACCTGCCCTGGAGCCGTTCCCCAGGTTGGTGACCTCATAACCGACCAGGGAGGGGCGAGGCAGTGTGGCCCGTGGCCCGGGTCCCAGGTCCCAGCCCACTCAGACCCCTCACAGCGTGCTGGACGGCAGAGAGCCCCTTCGCCAGCGCAGTGACAGCTCAGCCCTGCGCTCATCGGCACGGCGGGGCACGCCTCCACCACGGAGCCGCCCGGGTGCCGGGCCGCTGTCCTCCTTACGGAGATGAGCCCTGCCGCTCCAGCCACGGCACTAGGTACTCAGGTTATTGGAGTTCTCGGTGTGCGCAGGGCACAGGAGGTAGGGGGTACCGAACCCGCACCCTGCCCTTGGGGCCCTGGGGCGGGCCCTGGACCCCTCTGCCTCTGCTCGCTCACAAAGGGGCCGTTTTCCGGGAGGTGTGACCAGTGGAAAGCCTCCGAGCACAGCTCACAGTGCTTTCCTCGCGGGCGGCCGTGGGGATCCAGCCTTCGCCCAGACCCTGCACACAGGTCCCCACTTACCGGATGGTTCCCCGGGAGGCTGGCCACGCTGGGGCTCCATTCTCACCTGCAGCACAGAAGGCACGGGGGCAGTTTCGGGAACGTTGGGGCTTCCTCGGCCTTTGTTTAATGCAGTTGTGGGTGGATGAGAACTGCAAAATCGGAAAGTTTCAAAGTCATACGGAAAAAGGAAATTGGGACACAGGTGTAGGTGATGAAGGTAGCATCTGCAGGCGTCAGGATAAGGGTGCGAGGGACACAGGAGGAAGTGTCACTCATTGTCCTTGGGGGGCAGCTGAGTCACCCACTCACGGCCCAGGACACAGGAGGCGGCAGGGCCCAGAGCCACGGAGACAGCGGGCATCCGCAGCCTACCTGGGTCATCGGGCCACCCGAGGACAGCAGCACGCTGGGTGCACAGCGTGTGTGGACACTCGTAGGGAACAGAACGGTCTCGTAGTCCCTGAAGGGGGTGGCCCAGGTGTGCTCAGCTGTGGGGGCGAGGCCGTCACCCCAGGCTGGCAGCTGCACGGGGGCAGGAAGCTCTGACCTCGGAAGGCAGGTGGAGGCTAGGGCAGTGCACTGCGACCCCGAGGTGGCCGTGTGTCCATGCTCTGGGGCATCTGGCTGCTGTCAGCGCAGCCTCCCTGGGTCATCTTTTCCATTTGGGGGAACTCACCTTCGCTCCGTGTCCCCCGTGCCGTGGCCGTGCAAACCTCGGCAGCAGCCGTGCCCACACGTGTCCGGGTGCACTCGGCTCACCCTGAGTATGCGTGCTGGCATCACGGCTCTCGGCAGACCCGTTACCTGGAGAATTCTAAACACGGCTTTCGGGACAGTGCTGTGTACCGGGCCAGCCATGTCACGTGTCATCCTCGGTCAGCGTTGTTCTCTACTCCACTCAGACTCTAAACTCGCCCCAGGAAAAGGTTAAGCATGGTCTGACCCCACCCTGGGAGTTCTCGGGCACCAGCACCTTCCGGGTGCTTCCGAGGAGCCCACCGCCGGGCGCGGCGTGTCATGGCATTGGGGAATACCTGACTCCCAAACCAAAGTCAAAATCCTTCTCAGGAAAAAGGAAGAAGTATCCCTGGAAGGTGAGGTGGCAGGGTGGCTGGGGAGGGTTCCGCCCATGACGAGGAGTGTGTGTGAAGCAGACGGTACAGCCAGCGTCATAGAAAGTGACAAACTTTATTTCTAGAAAATACTTTACACTGACGGTTCACATGCACGCCCGCACCGCGCTCGCCCACACGGTAACTCCTTTCCATGTCACTGTCACATACACCGCGTCACAGTTACAAGGCCCGCGTGAAGACAGGGAAGCTTGCACCCGCGTGCACACCTTCCAGGAGTGACAAAACCCAGGCTGTCTGGGAGGGGCGTACAGAGTAGAAAGGGCACGGACCGCTAGGGGTGGGGCCACGCACCTGCTGGCCTGCAGGGCTGAGGCGCCAGCCATCGGGCGGCCTAGGCTCGGGCGTCGGGCTGACCTGGCCTCGTGTGTGATGTTCATGTGCTGCTCGCTGTGCAGGCTTGGGGTATGGCATTTTGACAGAGTGAAGTGACAGGAGCCCACATGCCACAGTGTCACAGGACAGCAGGGGGTACACCAGCCTGTGGCCGGGAGGGGGCGCTGACCCTGCACCCGTGCCCGCGCCCCTGCTCGCTCCCGAACGGCTAAGGAAGCCGTCCCTGTGGCAAGTGTCCTACGACGCCCGGCCCGGCCAGCTAGTCTCAAGCACTGTGTCAGAGGATGGAGACCACGGAACGCACACACATACGAGGTCACAGTTTTATTCGACAGTACAAATCATTGTGCATCATAAGGCAGAACATCGAGGCGACCGAACTAGGAGTTTCAAGACCGGAGTGAGAGTGAGAGTGGCGTTTGGGGAGGGAGCGGGGGCCATTCCTCGGGCAGGTGACGGGTGCACAGAGAGGGGCGGTGGCGTGGGGAGGGAGGACAATCGCCGTCCGCCTGCCTGCTAGTGAGACACCCCGCCTCCTTGGCATGAGCAGACCGGCAACGGTGACCCAGAGGGGCGACAGCGCCTCCTGCCGCGGGGGCTAAGTGGATGGGAGTGCAAAGGGCACCCCTCTGCTGGTGTCAGGGGAGGTGGGTGTGAGGACGGACTCGAGTCAGGAAAGCCCTCGTCTGGGATTGCAGAAAACGACACGGGCTTGGAGGCTCCGCGAGCGCGTGTCACTTCACTGTCCCCAGCCTTTGCAGCAGCTCCTTGCCTTTGGAAAGCAGCCCTTGTTTCTTTCTCGAGGACATTTCCCTGCCTCTCCCAGGACTCCCAGACCCCAGAGATGACGGAGGTGACCCCGAATGGAGAAGGGCTGTGGGGGATGGAGCTCTCCTTGCTGTCCCTGAACCCTCAGGAGGAACCTAGTGGCACAGCGTGACAGGTCGTTGAGTACAGGCACCAGCCACGCCCACCCGCTCGGCACCTGCCCGACCCCACCAGCACGGCACGGCACGGCACGGCACGGCACGGCACGGCAAAGGGGGTCCGTTTCTTCTTTCCGCTGCCAAGTATGCGGGGAAGCGAGAGCGCCCTCCCACAGCAGGCCTGTGGAGGGCCGGCCCTCGCCCCAGGGCTTTCCTTTGTGGGTGGTGGGGGGTGTGGCTGTTGCTTTGGCAAAACAAAGCCGCGTGGTCATTCGCCTGGTACGTTAGGACAGACTGACTTGGAATCACACTGGTTGGAAAGCTGGCCAAGTACCCATCAGTGACCTTAAAGGCAAAAATGCTCACAGGGCGTTTTCCTGCATTTGAAAACTACCGGGTGATACCACACCGTGGAGTGGTGCGTGCGTCCCTGGGCGGGTCAGTACACTACAGAAACATTGGAGATGGCACACTGGTTGAAAGGAAAAAAAAAACCTAAAATGAACCTTAATTACAATCGAAGAAAGCTTCAAGGCCCTCGCTGCACGCTGTTGTCATTTCCAATAGGGGACACGGCTGCCCAACCTGAGCACAGGCGGGAGTGCTTCGACAGACGCTGCGTGCGTCAGCAACACCGCTCTCAGGGAGCCGGGTTTGCTCGCTCTGCCTCCTGGCGACTCCGCCTCACTCACCCGCTACAGGTGAAGGCATGCCTGAGGCCACAGTGTCGCCATGCCTCGGTTTCCACCTCTCCAGAGCAAATCTCTTGCTAATGCGAGCGTTCATATTCAACAGGAAATGCTGTAAGCCAAGGGGCTTTCAAGCTTGCTTAGATTTAAAATCAAGGTCTACTTCTAATGGAGCACACCTAAGAATGAAGATACCGTCTAGTTAAAGCAATCACCTGAGCTGCACGTTTGAGGCTTGGCATTGCATTGGTATACCAGCAGTTCGGTTTACACCAGCATCTGGTGGTCAGAGTGGCTGTGGTTTGGGGAGAGGCGTGAGCCTCGTCAGGGAGAGGAATGGTTACTGAGGAGCACAGATCTGGGTGGTGGAAGCCGGCGTGGATCACCCTCTCACTACTCATCTGCTTGATCTCGAATCATGGTTTTTGTTTTTAGGTAAAACTCCCTCGAGTAAACATGTGTTAGGTTGTGCTTTTCCAAGAGTGGTTGACAATGCAATATGCAGCTTTGACCATGAGTAGACATTGGCACACTCTCTATGTAAACAGACGATTAGCTCGATAAGAAATATGCTCCCAACGTTGGACTCTCAAGGACCCACCGGAAATCGTAGGGAGTGATTATTACAGACGGGTGGTCTCACTACGAATCCAGTTGCTTTACAACTGAGACCGAGGAAGTCCTAATACTTTAGGTCCAACGACTTTTTTGAGACATATTTCTTCTCTCTCTCTTTCTCTTTGTAACCCCACAGTGAAGCCTTAGGTCTACCACATGGGTCCCTTTAAGGTAGCTTAGGTAGGTATCTTTATAGGTATCTTCGGTTGCTCACTTACGTGAAGGCTACATTGCCTGATTAAGGTGTGAAATGAACACTCTTCTTCTGTTTCCAAGCACATGAGCAAAGAAATAAAAATATATATATATATATAAAAATGTAATATAGAAAACATAGCAGTGATGAAATAAAATAAAAATGAGACACTAAACATGAATGCAACCTAATCGTTAAAATGCTTGAGGAGCTCTTGGGTCTTTGCTAAGAGGACTGAGCTCTCAGAGGGCGGGTACCCATGAGTGCCCGCTGAACATGAAGAGGAGCCATCCCTGTACTTGGAGTCAGACTGAAGCGTGTGTCTGGACTGCGCACGGGAAGTTTCTTTGTGAGGAAAGGCAGACTAGGTAGAATCAGGTGGGTCATTTTTTTTTTCTTTTTCTTTTCTTTTTTTGTGAAACGAATGAACTTAGAATCAGTTTTTAGGCACAACCCCCGTTGAAGGGCAGAGGAAAAACTCAGGATTTATGCTTTGGGGACCAAGACATAAAAATGTCAGTGCAGAGTTTTATCAGACCACATGCGGCAGACGGGGGCGGAAGGCAAGAAGGCTAGAAAGGCTCACTTACCCTCTTTGCCTTGGAGCGCATGGGTGTGTCTCGAGGGTAGTGAGATGATGCATCGGAAAGGTAGACTTCGACGTCATCAGGCACTTCTTCCAAAAAGTTCGACGGCACGAAGCCTTTCTGCCCATTTAGCTCCCCCTGAAAACACACGTGGGAATCAGAACTACTTACTTTTCCTGGAACCCACTTCCTTCTTGTTTGAAAGGACCACAGTTCAGAGTGGTTCTGCACGATGAGTTTATTCATTCAAAAGTGGCAGGACCCAAAGGCGCTCCAGGTCAGAGTGCCCAAACCTTTCTGACCCACAGGAGCACCCTCAGCAACATGCTGCCTCACTTCCAGGGGTGGGAAGTTTCCCGATGAACTGAAACAAGACGGAGGGAGTTCACCACTCCTACTCAACATGAGATTGAGTCTGGCCAGAGCAGTGAGTGATACGAGAGAAGAACGAAAGGCCATCCGGACTGAAAAGGACGAAGTCGGATTCTCTCTACTTGCCCAAGACATTATATATAGAAAAACGTTTAAAAACCCACCAAGAAACTCTCAGAACTGATGAGTGAATTCGGTAAAGTAGTAGAATACAAAATCAGCACACGAAACTCAGCAGTGGCCCTGTACACCAATAATGAACTAGCTGGGGGGAAAAATCTAAAAAGCAATCCCATTTAGGGTAGTTACAAAATACAGTATCTAGTAATAGATTTAGCCAAGGAGATGAAAGAACTCTACAATGAAGACTATAAAACACTGATGAAATACAGAACAAAGACATCCCATGTTCATGGATTAAAAGAGTCGCCCTTGTTAAAGTGTCCATACTACTGAAAGCGAGTCAATGTGAAACCTATCAAAATACCAATGGCTTTCCTCATAGAAATAGGGGGAAAATTAGAGCATTTGTACAAAACCACAGAAGACCTCACCTTCCCCCCCCCAAAAAAAAGCAGTTCTGAACAGAAAGGAGTTGGCTGGAAGTGTCACACCATCAAATTTTGAAATATACTACAAAGTTATAATCATACGGCACGGTGCTGGCATAAAAACAGACACATACCACACATATACACAGCTAACTGCTCTTTTATCAGAGGTGACAAGAACGTTCACTGGGGAAAGGAAAGCCTTTTCAGCTAGCGGTGCTGAAAATCTACAGAGCCTTCTGCAGAAAAGTGAAACTGGACGACTCTGACCATATGCAAAATCAATTAAAACTAGATTGAACACTTAAATGTAAGACTCAAAACCACAAAAACAGAGAAGTGCATTGGCCTGGGCAAAAAATGTTAAGATCACAAAAATACAGACCAAAAAAAGGATCATTTCAAACTAAAAAGCTTCTGTTCAGAAAAGAAAACAACAGAGTGAAAAGGATTAGAGAAAACATTAACAAATTATTTAAACAGAATATACGAGGGAATTAGCAAAAAAAAAAAAAAAAAAAAAAACCATCTAATCAAAATTGGCAAATGATCTGAATAGACATTTCTCAGAACAAGACAGACGGACAGCAGATGTGGCCACGGAACTGAGCTCAGGACCACAGAGAGGGCTCAGGACCACAGAGAGGCCTCAGGACCACAGAGAGGGCTCAGGGCCACAGAGAGGGCTCAGGGCCACAGAGAGGCCTCAGGACCACAGAGAGGCCTCAGGACCACAGAGAGGCCT